AGTGTCACTTACTTTACTCATAGTGCTGTTCAACCATTACTGCTGTCTACTTCCAAAACACCTCATCTCCACCACAGGAGACCCTGTAACTGTGAAGGGGTCAGCCCCCATCCCCTGCTTCCCTGAGCACCTGGCAGCCCCTGCTCTGCTTTCCATCTCTCTCTCTGGATTATTTGTTTTGGATAGTCTGGAGGAAAATGGAATCATTTTCCATTTTCACAGTAAGTGACCTTTCGTCTTAACTTCTTACACTTAGCATGTTGTTTGCTGAGCTCTTCCACCTTGCAGCCTGTATCGGCACTTCATTTCGTTTTAAAGTTTTCATTTTGTTTTATGGCTTGGGTAATATTGCATCGTATGGATAGATGATTTGGTTAATTCATTCTCCAGCTGATGGGCCTCCAAGGCGGTTTTGAGTGAAACTGGGGAGAAGAGTGGCTTGTACCCTTGCTCTTCAGCCTGCTATCCATGTGACTGTGAATAAGCTACTAAACTGACTGGTGCCTCCCTTTTCTCATTTGCCAAGTGAACATACTACTACTATATAACTCCAAGTGCCTGAAGGATCGGGTAAGATAATACGTGAGAAGTTCATCGAGAGAACCTGGCAAACAGTAGTAGTAGTAATAGTAGTGTTAGTCACTCAGTTGCGTCCGACTCTTTGCGACCCCGTGGACTGTAGCCCGCCAGGCTCCTCTGTCCATGGGATTCTCCAGGCAAGAATGCTGGAGTGCATTGCCATTCCCTTCTCCAGGGCAAATAGTGGGTCCTCACTGAATTAGCTTTTTCACCTTTGGATTCTATGAGGACGGGAGGGAAGGAGAGTGAACATGAACGTGTATTATAGTAGGTGATTTAGTGTGTGTGTGTTCTGTCGTAGCTGCTCAAACCTTTGTGCTTTGTTTTATCAAAAAAGGCCTATCTGTTTTCTCTGCTTTGTGGTTTGGTGTTTTTGCACCCCCACCCGTCCCTATCCCCCCATCACTGAACATGGGATTTTACATTTAGAAGCAGTTCAGTAGACAGAATGTCTGTAGTGGAATGTTACATAATTCACATTTAGATTTGAAGAGCTCATTATAAAAAACCTGACACACTTCAGGAATATTAAATTACTGCAGATTGTGTGGAGCAAAGAAACATTATTGAAGCATTTCAAAATTCTAGGCGAGCCTGAATTTAACTGATAGGGTTTCACAGCTTTTACTGGGGAAAAATGATTTGAGTTGTCACATGGTTTCTGGCCCTAGAGGACTTTAATCTCTTTAATTACAAAGAAACGAATTTCCTAAATAATTTGGAGCTACTTCACAGCATTTGCTCAACCTCTGGCTTTTGGAAAATTAAAGGGAATGCCAGGGCCCTGGCCGTGGAATGTTCTCTTCTTACTGAAGCTTCCTTATGCATGTTTTTATTTGAGATGATGCTAGTTTCCTTTCTTTATTGATATGGGGATGTACTTCAGGAATTCACAAGTAGTGCTTATAACACTTGAACACAATCTCATTTTGTTAATCAAGTGGGACACTGGAGATGCCCACAGAATAGACAGAGGTGCTGTGTTACGGTTTACAAAGTCAAAGGAGAGAAAATGGCGCAAATCTAATCCAGTTTTATACACTGACTTTTAAGAGTGCTTGAAATGGTTTAAAACCCGCATATTTCAGTCCATGTCAGTGTTTATGGATCAGGTACCTACTGTGTGCAAGCCCAGCATGATGGAAATATCTTAGCTCCTACCATTTCCTGCAGTTTGTCTTTAGAAACTTAATCTGCCATGGTTTCCTCCTCTGTAAAAAGAGGATAGCAATATGACCCTGAGTCTGTGTTGTGACCTTGTATTCCTGTGTTCAGAACACAGGAAACTGTTAGTGCCTAATCTTTATTGCGGAGAAGGCAATGGCACCCCACTCCAGTACTCTTGCCTGGAAAATCCCATGGATAGAGGAGCCTGGTAGGCTGCAGTCCATGGGGTTGCTAAGAGTTGGACACGACTGAGCGACTTCCCTTTCACCTTTCACTTTCATGCATTGGAGAAAGAAATGGCAACCCACTTCAGTGTTCTTTCCTGGAGAATCCCAGGGATGGGGGAGCCTGATGAGCTGCTGTCTATGGGGTCACACAGAGTCAACAGGACTGAAGTGACTTAGCAGCAGTAGCAATCTATTGAGTACCTCTGGGGAGATGTGTCAGACACTCTTCCAAGCATGTTAGAGATATGATCACAATTTCCTCAGCCACTCCATGAAGTTGATACTGTTACTCCATTTTAAAGGTAGAGAAACTAGGCAAAGAGGGGTCAGTAATTTCCTTAATATCACATTGCTTGTAAGTGGCTCAGGCTATGAAGATGGCCAAGAATCCGATCATAAGAAAGGAGATACACTGTTACCAGTGAAAGCTCATTCTGCTGCTGCACAACAGGCTCCAATAAATCAAGAGATAAGTTATTGAGGCAGGGAATAGTGACTTTATTTAGAAAGCCAGCAGAGCAAAAAGATAGTGGACTAGTTTCTCAAAGAACCATCTTAACTGAGCTGGAATTCAGGCTTCTTTTATACTAAAAGGTGAGGGTGTGTGGTCGGTTGTTTCAAACCTCTGGGTGTTTTAATCCTCTGTTCTTGCAGCTGTCCATGTAGGTCAGGTCACAATGTTCCTCTAAGCCTTCAACAAGACAAATGTTTCTTTCTGCCTTGCAACTTTTTATCTCTGTATGAATGGGAAAATGTTACACCTTTAAAGGTCAGAGCCTTGTGAATGGGCTATACTGTTTATTTCAGGCTATAGACAACATTCTTACCTTATAGCAAAAACAATAGAGTACAAAGGTTAAAAGAAACAGATCCAATATGGAGTCAGATTTGTTCTTCCCTATTACAGGTCCATTTAACAGACAGATCAGAAAATCCTTCTGCCTAAGATACCTCTTTGAACTGAACCTTGAGAATGTCAAGGCAGACTTGAAAAATTCCACAGAAAGGTAATAGCACAATTGAAAATTGGGAAGTTAGGAAAGTGTATCACCTTCCTACTAGACTTCTGCTTCCATTTGTTATTTTGGTTGTTAACTTCAAGCCTCCCTGGACATGCTGATGCTTCTGCCTGAGACAACCATTTATTCACTTATTACACATGCATGAGTACCCATCGGTCCTTTCCCTTGCCGTCCACCCGACGAAAGCATCATTCTTCAAGATCACACAGTGCAGAGCTTCATGTCTGTGAAGCTTTATTGACTCTTTCAAACAAAGGTAAAAACTTGCTCCTTTGTGCCCCAGTCTGTTTTGGTTCTGACCATGTGTATTTCATTCTCCTACATGACTAAGGCCTCTGCTCGACTGAGCTTCTGTGAGGACAAGAGGCTTTGACACTGTACTCTTGGGTTGCATGGCTGTGCAGTACACATCTGCTGACATGAATGAGCCAGCACTTGCACCTGGCCCTTCTTATGTTCTTAGTAGATATCTGTTACAGTGAAGGGACTGTATTAATAAAATTAATTAATAAAATCATTAATAAAATTATTTATTCCCTTATAGGACCAAATTTTCTGACTCTGTCATCTCTTATGGAATGTTGTCTTTTGGGGGCAAGAGGTTAGGAAGGAGATGAGAGCTTTAGTGGCATGATACAGGTAGATGGCACAAAAGTGGTGGGAAAAGTGCTCATTTTCAACATAGTTTTCCATGTACCCCTTTCTAGGAAAGTAATATTCCATTTTCTTTAGTTGCAGTCTTAGGTCCTATAATTTTCAGGGCTACTGTCCTTGTTAAAAAATAGTTTAACAACAAGCAAACAAGATATCTTTGGATAAAGGCGTGAATTTCCCCATATTTAAGCCTTATTAAATTTTTGTGTGCCTTTTACATTAAACATTTTCTAGTTAAGCCGTCTTTAGTTGGCATGATTAAGGGGCTTGGGTTATTATTCTTATTCAGCTGAAACTGGCATTCCGGGTCACCCTTTTCAGATTAAACAGTTCTAGATCTATTGCAGGAGCTAAGAATTGGCTGCACAGTTTGAAGATCCATTTCCTGTAGCTTTATCTTAATATTCTTTTAAAATGGATAACTCCTGAATGTTTATTTTCAACTGAACTCTCACATGTAACTATCAGAGATAGAGAGTCACTGCGAAAGATTGTTGACTTGACACCGGGAATACATTCATTCAATTTAAATGAAATCAAATGAGATAATATATGTGCAGCAGGAGCTGAGGGCACAGCATATAGTAAATGTATAGTAAATACTGGCCGTAATTGAAGTGGTATTATTATCATTATTATCTCTTCCCAGCACAGTGTCTGAACTTAATAGTACCTAGTAGTGTGCAATGCATATTTATTACAGAAAGAAGGATGAAATGTGTGTCTGCCTACTGCTTTTCCTCTTTTCCTCCCCACATTAAATGCTTGTCTGCTCATATAGCTGGGGGGAAAAGCTGACATAAAAATTGGCTTGCTGGAAAGTTTCTCAGCCCCATTTGTCACCTTACCCTTGAAGCCCAATTGTATGTCAACTGCATGTCCCCTCTGATGCCTGCTTGTGAGGGACAGACCACAGGTCACTTCCCTATGATCTGCTTCAGCTGCCAAGGCTCTGGTCAAGCTTGCCTGATGGATGGGTGCCTCACTGTTGGAAATGCCTCCACGGGGCTGCTCAGGAAATATGTCTGTGCTGCATTTTCTGAGTGGTTTTCCAGGCTTGGCAATAAGAAACACGGAAAATAAAGCACTGAGTTTTGCTTTTCTTGAAAGTCCAGTGTTTTAAAGATCTGCTATGTGTTTTCTAGTTTGAGTTTTTGCAAATAAGGCCTCTCAAGCTCTTTGCTTGAGAGCATATGAGCCCTGTCAATGGCTTAATGAAACCACGTGGGCAGTTTATACATGGAGACCAAGGTTTTCCTGTTTTTGCATGTTTGACAGTTCCTTTTTGCCCTTCTAATTTCTGACTTCACCAGGGTGGTTATTCTGAGTGTTCTCTTCTTTTGATTTGCAGCGCTCGGAAGGAGTGAATGAAATGTGCAACTCGGGGTGTCGTTTCTGAAAGGAGGAGTCATATTCTTGAAGAGGAGTCCTCAATGAGCCTGGCCAAGGCCCGGGATCTGTGTGAAGTGGACTAAGGATTTAGTAGGATGTCAACTGAGACAGAACTTCAAGTAGCTGTGAAAACCAGCGCCAAGAAAGACTCCAAAAAGAAAGGTAGGGCTCAATCTGTTCCTTTCACAGTGGCTACTTATTGTGCAGGAGTGGGTTTTCGGTCTTTGGAATAGTGTTTGGTACTGTCTTTGTGATTGCATACAGTTTTACAGTCACCAGCATTATTTGGTGTCTTTTGTGTTCACAGTATCATGCTTTAGTGGCTCATCCTTCTCTGGGTAAAATCCAAAGGAAAAAAAAATCTTCATAATATACAAGGCCGTTCTTAACCTGGCTTCTACCTCTCTCTCCATCCCTTTAGCAATATCACTGCCTAAATCTGCGCCACATCCCCACCCAACCCTGTTTGCATTCCAGGCATTCTGTGTCTTGTAGTTCACCTTTGAATGTATTAGGTTTGTCAAAAAGTTTGTTCAGATTTTTCTGTAAATCTTATGGAATGAACAAATTTTTGACCAGCCCAATACCAGTGATTCTCGAACTCCAGGCGTGCAGGCATGACCTAGAAGATTTGTTAAAACGCAGTTTGCTAAGTCTCGTTCCTGGAGTGTTTGGTTCACTAGGTCTAGGGTGGGGCCCAAGATGCATTTATAACAAGTTCTCAGATGATGTAGATGCTGGTAGTTCAGAGACCAGATTTTGAGAGCACCTGGACTACCAGTTAAGCCCTAAACCCTTTTGTTGCTCTCCACTTTTTCTTAGACTGACCTTCTCCTAACTTGTTTTTCAGGGTTGAGCTTAGTAGGGCTCCTGGAGGGTCTTTCCTTACTCCCCAACTTGGGTTACTTCTTTTGTTTGTTTCACTAGCACTTTGTTAGTATCTCACTTGCTTAAAAACACCCTGTATTTTCACTGGAGAGCTGTACTATACGCTCCTCAGAGCTGGATCTTTCGTTCACCCTTTTAACTCCCGACAATTAGAAAGTGTCTGACATAGAGGAGGCGCACAGGTATCTGGTAGAGAAGACTGGCATGCATAGTGTGATAATAAACTAATTCTATCGCTGTTCATGATTTTTGGAGGATTTGTTCCTATGACTTTATGACCATATCTCCTTGCTATAATTAGGTGTAAGCAACTTGTTGCTTGGTGTATACGTGTGTGTCTGTGGTGTGGTGTGTGTTTCCTGTCTGTACCATCTCTCTTCCTCCCTTGTCTTTAAGACTGCGTGGAAAAGGATTAATAGAACTCTCTCTCAAGTCTTAAAATCTGTCAGCATGGGACTGCAAACAAGCTGTCTTTGGTTGCTTTGTATAGGCAGTAATTTGTCTGAGGCATAGCCATGCCTGCCCAGTCATGTTTTCTGATGGCATTGTCTGATGCTCCGTAGGAAGCTAAGGACATAAATGTAATACATATGCAGTTCTTGGACAGTCAGAACCCTAAGAAGGACTATAAATTTTGCTTTAGATGTTTATTTGAAACACAAGTATTTTGGAAGAAGTCTATTTTATCCTTTAAAACCTAATATAAGCCTTCTTTTTATGCATGAGAGTATAAGAATAATAGAAGGGAAGCAAGTGAGAGAACAGGTCTTAGGAGAACTGCTACATGGAAAAAAAATTTATTGCAGAGCCCGGTATGTACTAGAATTCAAATGCTTTCTCACTGGAAACTGACAAGTTATATTTTTGCTTCAAATTTAACCTTTCCACTAAACTTATGCTCTTGAATGCTTAATGCATTAGAATTGTACTTAATGCATATCTTTTCATTCTTAATTTAAATACACAAAACCCGCAGCATTCTAAAGAGAAGATTCAGGTTTTTCAGAACACTGGCTTAGTTGAAGATTTGGAATGGGACTGTGAAGGTGACCTTTTGAACTCCTCCTTATCTTCACGTCTTTAGTAGCTTTAAAATCAACAGAATACCTGTACAAGGAGTATCCTCTAGTGAGGAATACTGTGAATGCTGTGAAGTGTGGGCAGGCAGAGCTGGATTCAGATTCCTCTATATTACTTCCCAACTGTGTGACCTTAGCATGTGACTTCACCTCTCTGAGACTCAGTTTCCTTTCCCTTAAAATGAAGATGTAATATTACAAAGCTCAAAGGCTCATTAGGAAGATTAATTAAAATAATGCAATAAAACACTTGATATAGAACTTGGCATATGTTAAAAACTCAAAGAAGTTTATCTGTAATCTTCTTCTCTTCTTCCTGTTTCCCCCTCCTCTTCTTCCTTCTTCTCATCCTCTTCTTTCCCTGTCATCTTTCTCCATCTTTCCCACCTCTCCTTTCTTTTTCCTGTTACTCTTCTGCCTTTCCCATTCCATCCTCCTCTTCTTTCTCATCTTTATCAGAGTGATCACATTGTTTTCGCTTACCCAAGGGGATCTTAAAAAGTATATAGCTGATTTGTCCAGAACAAGATTTTACAATTTTTTGTGATTATGCAACAGTGTTAAGCAGTTTTTATTCTTGATACCCTTGTCTGGACCAAGGCACAGGGAAAGCACACATACACATTAAAAGAGAGAACAAGAATGTGCTGGTAATAGGATTAATTCATTTCCTGTTCTTTAGTTTCGGCTATGGGATTGTATAAGTATTCCATTAAACAAATGTTGCTAGCTGGGCCAAAATAAGTAGAACTTTAAAAGGAAGTAAGTAGTTTATATATTCATTGGTCTTGAATCTTGAATATAATAGTGTTACTAAACTCTTTTACTAATATTTTTCTATGACTCCTCTTTGATTTTCTAAAGAAGCAATATATAACCTTATAAGTAAGTTTCAGGCTTCTTCCCAAGCTTTAAATATTTGTTCTTTTTCTTATTTTATTACATTGTCTCAGCCTGTTAATACAATAGACTTTCCTGGTGACTCATAAGGAATCTGCCTGCAATGAGGGGACCTGTGTTCAGTTCTTGGGTTGGGAAGATCCCCTGGAGAAGGGATTGGCAACACACTCTATTATTCTTGCCTGGAGAATTCCATCAAAGGAGCCTGGTGGGCTACAGTTTGGGGGGGTTGTAAAGAATCATTAATATGATATTTAGTAGACAGTAGATATCCTTAACTTTTTCTTAAATTAATGGAAATGCCTTAAATTACCTGTCAGTGTGATATTTAAGTTTTTTTTTTTAATATTCATTGTTAGTTCCCCTTAATTTATCATTTCTAGGAATTATTTTTTAAATCTTGAATTTTCATGTTGAATTTTATGATGCTTTTTCTATATTTATTTCAATGATTATACATGTATTTTTTCTTTTAGTTTAAAATCAGCAATAACTCATGGATTTCACTGATAGATTTTCTAATTTTCATTTCTGTTTATGATATTTTATGTACCCTGTGGTTTTAGTTTGATATTTTACTTAATATTTTGTTATTTATATTCATCCGCAAGGTTCGTACATATTTTTCTTTTCTTGAACAATCTTTGTGCCTGACATAGGTCAAAGTTAATAACCTTACTTAATGATATTGGTGGTAAGGAAACACAATAATTTTAGGCTTCTTTATGAACAATAAATATTTTTTCTTTTTTTAATAGTTTCATTAGACTTTTTAAAAGTTATAGATGCCTACTACTGAAAGCTAGAAAAGATAGGCATGTATAATCCTAAAAATTAAAAATAACTTATTAACATTCTAAGTTACTTTCTTCTGAACTGACTTTCCTGGGTAATATATGTACTTGAGATTATGCTGTTCATATGATTTTACATCCTGCTTTGTCATTTGACATTCTGTCATAAGTATATTTCTCATTTTACTGCCTGGTATTACAGAATAGAAACGTTTTTCTTTTCTTGGAAAGATTTAGGTGGTTGGGGAGGCAGACATTTTGCTTTCTAAAAAAAAAACAAAACACCTGACAATGTGAGACATCTATCCTGACAAAGAGCGGCATAAAGAATGTTAAGAGGCCGTTAATAATTCTTCAGAAACCTATCACCCTAGTTCTTTGACCCAGGCTGTTGAAAGTAAGTCAGACAGATTCACAAACAAGTCACATTGGAGCATATTTCACCACAAAATGAGTTTCTAGACAGGCCATGTATGAGATGCAACTAGAGTATTCATAGTTCAAATAAGGAGGGGATGAAAGTAGTGAGAAATAAAGTTGTTTCCTTCATTTCATTTTTATTGGATTGTGTCACTACACAAACAGCTTGTCAAAGGTGCCTCTTCTGGGAGTGGAATTTGAGGGAGGACCAAAGAGAAAGAATGTATATTCTCAGGTTCATCATCTGCCGCCAGAGGGAGAGGATCAGCTGACACCGTTTGTGGTGATCCTGGCCTTAAGGCACCCAGTGGAAGCCTGTGGTAGAGGAGTGGGTCCCAGCATTAGCAGACATACCTGGGGGCGATTTTAGTCAGCACCATCCGGCAGCTTACTGTCGTGGAAGAGCAATAACCTGGAGTTCAGCAGACCTGGTTTTTCCTCTATAACTCTTGTTCTTATCTGCTGTGTAACCAGAATTTAGCCCCATTGACCCTTGTCTTTAAGTGTGTGATTCCAGTGTGTGTGTAGGGGGAGGTGGTTGGGTATTACTACTCTGCTTGTTATCAGAAAGGTGAGTGAAATTATCTTGGATAAAGGGCCAGCTTGGGATCTGCAATATGGTCAGGGTTAGCTTTTTTGTCCTCTTTCTTCTCAGATCACGGTTTAGTATTCTCTCCTTATTTTCTAGAAATACTTGGACATAAACTTAATCACTTTCCTTATATTTATTGTGGAGCTCTACTCAAAGATAAATGGTAACCCACTCCAGTACTCTTGCCTGGAAAATCCCATGGATGGAGGAGCCAGGTAGGCTACAGTCCATGGGGTCGCAAAGAGTCGGATACAACTGAGCGACTTCACTTTCACTTTCGCTCAAGGATAATTAGCGAGCAACAATGACACAGCAGCATACCACCTGATTGTTTCCTCCCAAACTGTGTTTGAAGCCTAGCTGTGTGCCTCAGTAGTTGTGTAGACTTTTGGGAGGTTTCTTAGAAAATTTCTGTCAGTTGAGGTGAAGGAATGGTTTCAGGAACAGCATGCTCAGGGTCCTAATCCCTCCACTGATTGGTGAGTCCTG